AAAAGCCTTTTTACCCCCCAAGGAGCCCCCCTTGAAGAGGTTTATTTCCTCAGAATCCGTAGAGTGCATGAATACAGATCGATCAATCAATTCCATCCATATTGTACAATGATTTGTTCTTATAAGCCATAATGCATTATGTTAAAACTCATGATGTTAACATCCATTATGATACCATCCATTAGTTCTAAGTTATATATGAAGTTGTTATTGTATAGAATCAGCCCAGAAGCACCTGCCTGTTAAGCTTATAGTATAGTAGTGTTTGTCGAGACGAAATGCGTAACAAGACCGAGCTGTCAGCATAGTTGCTGATCCCCTTACATAGTACAATCCATGTGCTTTATATAGAAGATTCCTAGGTCTGTGACTATGACGTCACGGGATGCTGCACGAGTTAGCTGGACAGGCTACCTCGGCCTCACTTGACGGATAGACATAGGCGAGTAGGCAGGCCTGGACTCCCATCACAGTCTGACAATACATATCATTACCATCCAACAAGCGTGTCTACCTTCAACCCTCAAATCTTCTACCGCACCCCACACGACATCTGAGCCCAGCCATGGGCCAGGCTCATCTGTTCCTCACCTGGTCAATCAAGCTGTTGCTGCTGGAGGCCCACTGCCCCACATATCCATCACAGCCTGGTTGATCTGGCTCCTGGTGAAGATACTTGTCTACTTTCCTCTTTAAGGCTTCAACACTTGTTCCAGCAGTGTTTCTGTGTTGAAGCCTTCAAGAGGAAACTAGACAAGTATCTTCACCAAGTGCCAGATCAACCAGGCTGTAATGGATGTGTGGGGCAGCGGGCCTCCAGGAGCAACAGATGAGCCTGGCCCATGGCCGAGCTCAGAGAATAGATATACTCTCGAAATTCTTCAAAGGTATACATCACCACTAGTTGCAGGCAATTTCTTTAACAGATCGTCGTGCAACTGCCTAGCCTTTTCACATACTCAACCCCTGCCAATTTGGATTCAGGAAAAATAAAAGCACTAATGATGCAATTGTAAAAATGTTAGATGATCTTTACACAGCAGTGGAAAATAAGGAATATCAGCTAGGAATTTTTATTGACCTAAGAAAAGCGTTTGACAGTATTCCACGGCATCCTACTCCACAAACTTGACCATTATGGTATAAGAGGCCATGCGCTAGCATATTTCAAATCCTACCTTACTAATAGGTATCAGAATGTCACCATTAAAGACACAGCCTCATCAACACGGCCATTTGATACTGGAGTTCCACAGGGAAGTGTCCTTGGTCCCCTGCTCTTACTCATTTACATTAATGATCTTCCAAATGTATCCTAACACCTGAAACTCATTCTCTTTCCTGACGACAAGACTTACGTCATCTCCCACCCTAATCTTGCCACCCTCAACACCATTGTGAATGAGGAGCTGCTCAAAATTGTGACTTGGATGACAGCCAATAAATTTACACTTAACACTGACAAAACCTACTACATTATGTTTGGTAGCAGAGCAGGTGTTGCGCAACTTAACATTAAGATCAACAACACTCTAATTGCCAGACATAATGAGGGCAAACTCCTAGGTCTATACCTCAACAACAACCTAAATTTCAGCACCCATATCCAACACATAACAAAAAAAAGTATCCAAATGGTGGGGATCCTCTCCAAGATATTACGTGCCGCAAACTGCCCTTCTCACACTATACTATTCACTCATTTATCCATACCTCACCTATGCTATTTGTGCTTGGGGATCAATTGCAGCAACACACCTAAGGCCAATAATAACCCAACAAAAAGCCGCAGTAAGAATAATTGCTAAATCCCATCCCTGGCAACACACCCCCCTACTCTTCATAGATCTAAACTTATTCCCTGTTCAGAACATCCACACTTACTACTGTGCAATCTATATCTACAAGACCTTAAATTCCAATTTTAACCTTGACCTAAAACACCTAACATAACAGGCATAACACCAGACACAAACTTCTCTATGAAATTTCCCGTGTCCGACTAAACCTTTACAAAAATTCAATGTGTGTCAAAAGGCCTAAAATCTGCAACAACCTATCTGAAAACTCTAGAACTACACACACATTCGTCACTTTCAAAACTACAGTTAGAAAGCAACTTATCTCCCTGATACACCCCATCAACTAACTACATGAAAACCATCTGGTGGTTCACACTTACACTCACTCACCCATTGATTATAAACACAAATATGAATCTTAATCTTAATATAATGAATCCTAACTAGTCGTAAGTTTGCCTATGATACTCCAATATACACACTATGTATTGTGCCAAAACAAAAGCATGCACATTGCTAAACTCACAAACTATAATGTAGTCCCTTAGCCTTAATTCCATAATCTGTAATAATTTAAAGTTAAGAATTAATCTAAGTCTGCCCAAAATGCCTAGCCATGCTAGGTGTCCTAGTGGCCCCCTCTGTAATTAGTATCTTAAAACATGTAAACCACACAATATCCAAAATCTGTAAACCCCGCATTGTAATCCTTATAGAGAATAAACTTGATTGATTGATACTCTATATTAGCTCTCGTGAATACACAAGACTACTCTTTTTATAAAATACAGTGGACCCCCACATAACGATATTAATCCGTTCCTGAGAGCTGAATGTTATGTGAAATCATCGTTATGCGAATGAATTTTCCCAGTAAGAAGTAATGGAAATCAAATTAATCAGTTCCTGACACCCAAAATTATGAAAAAAAATTTTTTTACCATATGAAACATTAATTTTAATACACACAAACTGAAGAAGACATGCACAGTTACATGACACTTACCTTTATTGAAGATCTGGTGATGATTGATGGGATGGGAGGAGGGGAGTGTGTTGATGGTCTTAGTGTTTAGAAGGGGAATCCCCTTCCATTAGGACTTGAGGTGTCAAGTCCTTTTCTGGGGTTACTTCCCTTCTTTTAATGCCACTAGGACCAGCTTCAGTCACTGGACTTCTGTCACACAACATATCTGTCCATAGAGGTCTGTACCTCTCGTTCCTTTATGACTTTCCTAAAGTGGTTCACAACGTTGTCAGTGTAATAATCACCAGCACGGCTTGCAACAGCTGTCTGAGAGCGATTTTCATCCATAAAGATTTGCACTTTAAGCCACATTGCACAGATTTCCTTAATCTTTGAAGTAGGCAACTTCTTCAATTTCTCTCTCCCCTCCTCCGAAGCAGTTTCCTCAGGTCTGCCCTCTTGCTGTTCAAGATGATCTAGCAGCTCATCAGTGGTTAGTTCTTCATTGTCCTCCTCCACCAACTCTTCCACATCCTCACCACTAACCTCCAACCCCAATGACTTCCCTAATGCCACAATTGATTCCTCAAATGGCATAGGATTCCCAGGGTTAGCCTCAAACCCTTCAAAATCCCTTTGGTATACACATTGTGGCCACAGTTTTTTCCAAGCAGAGTTAAAGGTCCTCCTAGTCACTCCCTCCCAAGCCTTACCTGTAAGGTTTACACAATTGAGGATATTAAAGTGCTCTCTCCAAAACTCTCTTAGAGTCAATTGAGTTTCTGAGGTCACTACAAAGCACCTTTCAAACAGAGCTTTTGTGTACAGTTTTTTGAAGTTTGCAATAACATGCTGGTCCATGGGCTGCGGGAGAGGAGTGGTATTAGGAGGCAAAAACTTGACCTTAATGAAGCTCATGTCCCCACAAAGTCACTCTGCCAAATCTGAAGGATGACCAGGGGCATTATCTAACACCAGGAGGCACTTAAGGTCTAATTTCTTTTCAGTTAGGTAATTTTTCACATTGGGGGCAAATGCTTGGTGTAACCAGTCATAGAAAAAGTCCCTAGTGACCCATGCCTTACTGTTTGCCCTCCACAGCACACAATTTAGCCTTGAGGATATTCTTTTGCCTGGATGCTCTGGGAGTTTCAGAGTGATACAATAATAAAGGCTTCACTTTGCAATCACCACTAGCATTGGCACACATGAGAAGAGTAAGCCTGTCTTTCATAGGCTTATGTCCTGGGAGTGCCTTTTCCTCCTCAGAAATGTAGGTCCTGCTTGGCATTTTCTTCCAAAACAGGCCTGTTTTGTCACAATTAAACACTTGTTCAGGTTTCAGTCCTTCACTATGTACTCCTTGAATTCCTGCACATATTTTTCAGCTGCTTTGTGGTCCGAACTGGCAGCCTCACCATGCCTTATCACACTATGTATGCCACTACGCTTCTTAAATCTCTCAAACCAACCTTTACTGGCCTTAAATTCACTCACATCACTAGTGGCAGGCATTTTTCTAATTAAATCCTCATGCAACTTCCTAGCCTTTTCACTTATGATCGCTTGAGAGATGCTATCTCCTGCTATCTGTTTTTCGTGTATCCACACCAATAAGAGTCAACATCTTCTATCACTTGCAATCTCTGTTTCGAAAACACAGTTGCACCTTTGGCAAGAACAGCTTCCTTGATTGCCGTTTTCTTGCAAACAATAGTAGTGATGGTTGATTGGGGTTTACTATACAACCAGGCCAGCTCGGAGACACGTACTCAACTTTCATACTTAGCAATGATCTCTTTCTTCATCTCTATAGTAATTCTCACCCTTATTCCTGTAGGGTTGGCACTAGAAGCTTTCTTGGGGCCCATGGTCACTTATTTTGCAGATAAAATCACCAAAAACGCTGTAATAATACGAAATGTTCCGACTGTATGCTTGGATGTTACGGCGGAGGCTGGCTGGTAAACAATGCCACAGGCAGAACATGTGAGGCTGGTTCAGGCCGCACATTAGACGCGTCTCGGACGAATAGCGTTGAGCGAGTTTTTTAGCGGTATGCAAGGCAAAATTTTAGCGATAAAATGTATCGGTATGCGGATTTAACGTTATGTGATGCCAACGTTATGCGGGGGTCCACTGCATATAAAATATTCTGAACATTAATACAAATTATCTCCTCTATGAACTTTTAAGAATTATATGACTAACATTTCATTAACATATTTCACTCTCAACACTTATGGTATATCCCTTTTAAATTTTATTTTTTTTATTATCACACCGGCCGATTCCCACCAAGGCAGGGTGGCCCGAAAAAGAAAAACTTTCACCATCATTCACTCCATCACTGTCTTGCCAGAAGGGTGCTTTACACTACAGTTTTTAAACTGCAACAATAACACCCCTCCTTCAGAGTGCAGGCACTGTACTTCCCTTTTAAATATTCTGATGAATTTATAACTAAAATATTTCTGAAACTTTAAACACTAACAAGTTTTATCTCCTGAATGTACTCATGCATGTGTCACAAGACTGCATTTTTGACTAAAACATTTCACACTCAGAACATTGATATGGTTTATCTCCTGTATGTACTCTCATGTGTGTCACAAGACTGCTTTTTCGACTAAAACATTTCAGACATTCAGAACATTGATATGTCTTATCTCCTGTATGTACTGTCATATGTGTCACAAGACTGATTTTTTGACTAAAACATTTCAGACACTCAGAACATTGATATGGTTTATCTCCTGTATGTACTCTCATATGTGTCACAAGACTGCTTTTTTGACTAAAACATTTCAGACACTCAGAACATTGATGTGGTTTATCTCCTGTATGTACTCTCATATGTGGCACAAGACTGCTTTTTTCACTAAAACATTTCAGACACTCAGAACATTGATATGGCTTATCTCCTGTATGTACTCTCGTATGCTTCGCAAGACTGCTTTTTTCACTAAAACATTTCAGACACTCTGAACACTGATATGGGTTATCTCCTGTATGCATTCTCATATGTGTCACAAGACTGCTTTTTATACTAAAACATTTCAGACACTCAGAACATTCATATGGTTTATCTCGTGTATGTACTCTCATCATATGTGTCACAACATTGCTTTTTTCACTAAAACATTTCAGACACTCTGAACACTGATATGGTTTATCTCCTGTATGTACTCTCATATGCTTCGCAAGACTGCTTTTTTCACTAAAACATTTCAGACACTCAGAACATTCATATGATTTATCTCGTGTATGTACTCTCATATGTGTCACAAGATTTCTTTCTGCACTAAAACATTTCAGACACTCAGAACATTGATATGGTTTATCTCCTGTATGCACTATCATATGTGTCACAAGATTTCTTTTTGCACTAAAACATTTCAGACACTCAGAACATTGATATGGTTTATCTCCTGTATGTACTCTCTTATGTGTCACAAGATTGCTTTTTTGACTAAAACATTTCAGACACTCAGAACATTGATATGGTTTATCTCCTGTATGTACTCTCATATGATACACAAGACTGCATTTTACATTAAAACATTTCAGACACTCTGAACATTGATATGGTTTATCTCCTGTATGTTCACTCATGTGTGTCATAAGATAATCTTTTCTACTAAAACATTTCAGACACTCTGAACATTGATATGGTTTATCTCCTGTATGTAATCTCATATGTGACACAAGACTGCTTTTTTGACTAAAACATTTCAGACACTCAGAACATTGATATGGTTTATCTCCTGTATGTACTCTCGTATGATTCACAAGACTGCATTTTACACTAAAACATTTCAGACACTCTGAACATTGATATGGTTTATCTCCTGTATGTACTCTCATATGTGTCATAAGATTTGTTTTTACACTAAAACATTTTAGACACTCTGAACATTGATATGGTTTATGTTCTTTACGTTTTTCCATATTTTTTAAATGAAGGTATTTCATCTAAAAAATTTTAGTCACACAACAGTGGTATAGTTAATCTTCCTTATGTACTCATGTCTATTTCAAGATTTTTTTTTTAACTATTTTGGACACTAAACACCTGGTCTTCCTTATGAACATATTCCCATGTTAAGATATATTTAGGCAAAACTTTTCCTACTTATGAACACTAATAAAGTTTACATTGTGTTAAAACACTATCATAATTTTTGTTTTGTGTTAAAAGATTAATGTATATATATACGAGAAATTTGCAGATACACTCAACATTATTATTATTATTGTTTGCTCTTGTGTTTAAACAGATTTTTCTGAAAATTTTTAATTACAAAATTACTAACTTGTATTCTTTTACTAACCCTTTGAGGGTTCAGACCCTAAATCTGATAATTCCCCACAGGATCTAAAAAATATTATTTCTCATGAAATTGTAGAGAATCTTTTTCTGAAAGGTAATAAAATAAAAAGTACAAAATTTGATAAAGAATTGACAAAGTTACGCTCCTGCGAATTTTGCTGTGTCAGAGATATTTATACATTGGCAATTTTGCCCACTTTGAATCCTGTTTTTGGCAATTAAATTATTCCATTAGACCAAATTCTTCGCTATTTTCTAGTATGTGTTCCATTTTATCTACTGAGCACATAAAATTGCCCAGATCAACTATTTCAACTTCCCAATAAAGTGATTGGAAATTGGTAATTTGGCCAATTTTACACAAAGTTCAAAATATTCCAATTTCAAAATATTGTCCAGAATAATCAATGCAGGCATTCCAGGCACTAAACTAACATTTTCTGTATTTATTAGTCACATTTCCAGGTTTTACAGATAAATTTCATTTTGATTTTTTAATCACACCAAAAAATAGAAGATTTTTATGCAATATTGTAATAACTGTATAAATAATATCAGCACACTCAGCAACACACATCAGACCCACCAGCTGACATGAATTGGACACAAAATGTGATTTGTTCACCCACTAACATAGGCAAAAACAGAACATTTCTACTATTCTGAAGAATAATTGCAAGCTATTTTCAGTACTAAAATCCATCAAAATAATTTCTGTAATACATCTTCTATTCTATCAAATGACACCAAGAAACAGTGAGGTGCCACTAAAAATCATATGAAAATACACTGAAAATTTGCTGTTTTAATCCAAAAACATAGTCGCAGTTTTTTCTCATTATGCACTGTGTGCAGCAGGATTTGTTTTATATGGTACACACTTACCACATAGATGCATTCTCTCATATATAGGCCCAAATCACTGCTCACAGCTTATCTGAGTAAGCTGAGCTCATGATGTAGTACTACAGCTTAGGCCCTGGCTTAAAAGTCGTAGAACTAGAAAACAGACCCTCAAAGAATTAACTGCCATGCAAAAGCATAATTATTTAATTAGTAATAGTTAGTTAAAAATTTACAAGAAGAACAGCTGTTGCCTTTTTTGAAGTACTGAAGATACAGTGTCTGGCAAGATACAACCTGGTAGTCTTCCACAAATACTTCTGTAATATCAGTTGTTGTTCAAGACACTTACACTGGTGCTTCTTTGAAGTACTGATGATACAGTGTCTGGCAGGATACAACCTGGTAGTCTTCACAAAATACTTCTCGTAATCAGTTTTGTTTCACAAACACTATACATTGGTTGCTCTTTGTAAGTACTGAAATAAACATGTCTGGACAAGACACAACTGTAGACTTTCCACAAATTACTTCTGCAACAGAACGTAAGTCAGTAAAGTATAATTTCTACATTCCAACACAAATACTGGACCCTTAAAAAAAGTTTTTTTTTTCCTATTGACCATGGTTTCCACTAAATAAAATGTCACTTAACCCATTAAACTGACCAAAGTAGATCTATGTTGTCGTTTGACGCTCTGAATGTTAGATTCTATCACTTAATTTTTCCATTCTTTTAAAAATCTGACCACTTAGTACTTGTGGAGCACAATTGCAATTGAAACCAACTAGAGCAAACAGCATGACAAACACCAGATTCACTGATTCCATGTCACATTAACACTCCCCTTTTAAGAGACAGTGGTTTGGCGTCTCTGTCATATTTCTATCTTATATCTATATCTGTATCTGATTCTACTTTCACATGTACATAAGTACAATATACAGATGTAAATTACCAGGATAACCCAAAATTTCAGGCAAAGATAGACAGATAGACAAAGATGTTTGATGCATTTCAGTGACAAAAATAAGCCAGGGTTACCCTAGTGCCCATTATCAAATGTTACTGAACTGTCAACAGTTGCCATAGCACAATTCTTTCAATGAGTTTTGATATGTACGTCAGCGCACACAGGCAGACAGAAAGACGATAAATCAGGCTACAATAAGTGAGGACAGACTGGCAGACAGAAGACAAGGACTGTTGTTGTGTGAACAGTGAAGATAAAATACAGGAGGGTTGTGAGCTGGAGCAGTTCACACGTATCAAATTCACTGGCTGTCAACAGTATGGGATGCCTTCATAACACCAAACTTTAACCCTTTTACTGTTTTCGGGGCTTATTTGTAAATACGTCTACCCCCCTGTTTTCTGAGTATTTAAACGCCTAAATCAGCGGCTTCAAATCAGTGGAAAGCTGGTGGGGCCCACATAGGAATGGGCAGTTGGGGGTGCACCCTTAAAAAAAAATTGGGACCTTTGGTGCATTGTGGGAATGCCATTTTGGTAGTCCTTTTTCCCCAGCCTCGCGTAAGAATCCCTCACCCCTCGGGGGTTTGGGTCTTTTTTCCCAAGTGATAGCTCTAAGAGTGATGAAATGTCTTTAAAGTGAATTCCCTGGTTTTCAAAATGGGTGTGGGCCCAAAAAAAAATGCCCCGGATAAATAAAGTGATAAAAACCCGATGACCCACAAAACCTTCCATCTTGGTGCGGCCCCGGGTCGTCAGTCACCTGTACCGGGTGGAAAGGGAAACTATTTCCCATGTACAAAGCCAGATGTGAGCAGTGAAAAAGAATGATAGTGATTTCAAAGCTATGGAAAGCAGTTCCAGTTGCGACAATGAGGGTGAATATTCCCCAGTGAAGCGGCAGTATGTACGATGTAGCATGCGGTCTGGTAGTGTGTCATATGCTGTTCCAAGGGGAAGGAGTAAATTTTGGAGCACATCCCGTGGCCCTACACCACAACCTGATAGTGAAGATGACAATATTGTTACGATGGTTATGAATGATGTGAGTGAGGCAGCAGGTGGAGGTGGTGAAAGTGATGGTGGCACAAGTCATGTGGTACCTGCAGCGGGCCACGCTACTACTGATGCTGCTGATTCTGCACAACTTCAACCAGCCTCACCCAACCCCACACTCCCACAACCTGCACAACCACAACCGCGTTTCAATATCCAGAACCCACCAGCAGACCGCATCTTGGATTGGCAGGAAGGTGACGAGTTTGTTCCCAGTCCCCATGATTTTGATGAAACACGAAGTGGAATATGGCAATTGTGTATACATGGGAACAATGCTACTGAACTGGAATGCTTTCAGTTATTCTTCGATGAACCCCTGATGGACATTATTGTCAGGAAAACCAACATACTATGAGTACACCATTGCAAATACAATTCTCTCACCAAGATCACAGCTACACCAGTGGGAGAACACAACTATGGCAGAGATGTACCTGTTTTCTGCCACAATAATGCTTATGCCCCATGTGTATAAGCACACTGTCACCACATACTGGGCAACAGAATGCCTGATTTCAACCCCAGGCTTTAGTGACATTATAGGTGTGAATTGTTTTTTGATACTGTTATGAATGTTACACTTTTCAGACAAAACAAGGCCTGACAGAAGCGACAGGTTATATAAGATCAGAAATGTGTTTATGTACCTGAAACAAAAGTGTTCCATGTATTTTTATCCCTTCAGGAAGCTTGTTATTGACGAGTTTTTTATTTTATTCAAAGGAAGACTCTCATTCAAGCAATACATACCAAGCAAGAGGAAACACTCTGGTATAAAGTTATTTGTACTGTGATTGCAAAAGTGGTCTCGTTTTGGATATCATTGTGTACACTGGCAGTAATACATTGAGAGATACCAGGAAGTTATTGGGTATCTCTGGTGATGTGGTTAGAACAATGATAGAACCATATCTTGGTAAGGGGCATATATTATATACTGATAACTGGTACACAAGCCCCATACTCAGTAATTTCTTGAGAGTGAGCCTGACAGACATGTGTGGCACAGTGCATGGTAATCATAAACATATGCCAAGGTTCACACTGGCACTCACAGGGTGAGGTGGCAAGCCTTTGCTGCCAATGACTCATGGCATTTCGGGGATTACAAAGGGACCCCAATTTGTTGACATCATTCACCAAAAATGAAATGGCACACCTGGCAGGCAAATAGAGACCCCAATGAACCCTTTCAAAAAACCTGCAGCTGTCAGGGATTCAACCTAATATGTGCTTAGTGGACAAATGTGAATGCAGTTTGGGTTTGCTGATTGTGTATGAAGAGTTAAAAGTGGTAAAGAAATTTTTTTTCCATTTTCTTGTATTTCCATGCAAAATTTTATAACATATACAAGTTGGGGGACCAACAGCAAATCAAAAATTGGTAAATTTTGTTTTGTCAGTCATTAACAAATCATCGCCTTTTACCAAGGGCAACACCTGAATGACCGTGCCCAAAAAATTCCCAACACACGCCTCTCGTTTGAGGCCTGGTGATCATTCCCCCATACAATTGCCCCTCTTCTTTAAAGAAAATGATTAGAAAAAAGGGTTTTTTGTATGTGGCATCCACAAAACCCACAAACACCAAGACCCGTTTTATGTGTGAAGGGTCAAGTACCACTCTGCCATACCCATTTTTTAAAAGGTTCCAAAAGCTGCAGATTTCTAGGAAAGTTTCAGTGACTTACAATGTATTATCTATTATGGAACAATGAAATAAAAAATGTTTTGTATTGTTTGTAAAAAAAATTTTTTGTATAAAATTAATAGGGGATAATGTTTTTCATTATTGTGCTGTAAACAATAGTTAATATTTGAACAATGCACCTTATTTTGGTCTCACAGGCCACTAAGTACTTATTTTTAATATGTTTATTGGCCCCCCTACCCTCCTGTGGGGGGGTTTAGTCAAAAGATTACAGAGGTACAAAATTTGGTCCAGGGATGGACCAAAAGTTTTTGAAGTTAAAAGTTACAGAGGGATGAACTAAATTTTTCAAAGGTAATAAAATCACAATTTAAAAAGGGAAATGAACCCCAGGGGGTTGGTCACAACATGCAATTTAAAAAGGTATTTTACAGATTACAGAGGACATAAGGGGGTCCGGGATTGGGCCCCCAAAGTTTGATAGCTAAATAGGAACAAAGGTAATGAGCCAAAATTACAAAGGTAAAAATTTTCTGTAAAAATGGTTACTTATTTTTTTAAACTGGCTACAATCATAAACAAATTTAGTGTAAGGGAAAATTTCCACATCCACCCCAGCCCCACAACTGTAATGAGTAATTGGGTGAAAATATTGATTTTGGTCACACACACCACACACACACACACACACACAAAACACACACACACAACACCCCACACCCACACACACATTTACAGGGGGAAACCAGTAAACTCCAGGAAATCAGAGAGGGGGGGCACCACAAGTGCGGGGGTTTTAACCCAAAGGGGGAGGTGAAGAAGCTGCTATGGGGAAAACCCCCAAAGGCGGGGTTAAAAAACCCCTTTTTTTTTAAAAAAAAAAAAAAAAAATTTTTACCTTTTAAAAAAAACCCAAAACCCATTGAAAGGGAACCCCCATTAAAGGCAAAAGATCCAATTTTTAAAAGGGGGACACAAAGGAAAAAAACCCCCAAAAAAATCATAAGGAAGGGGGCAAAAAAAAAATTAAAAAATAAACGGAAAAAAGGAAAGGACCCCCGGGGAAATCCAAGTTTACGGAAGAAAACCCCAAAGGAGGGGCCATTTTTTGGGGGGAAACCCAAAAAGGTCACAAAATTATCAACTCCCCCCCCCCCCAAACCCTGATTTTCCAATATTTTAAAAAACCCCCGGTTTTTAAAGGTACGGGAGTTTTTTAATTTTCCACAACCTTTTTCCAAAAAAGTCTTTTTTTACCTTCCGTTCTGAATTTTTAAAAAAAAAAGGGGAACTTTAAAATGAATTTTTAGAATTTTAATTTTAATCCTTTTTTAACCCCCCAAAATACCCCCAATTCACTTTCAGAAGGTCGATTACCCTTTCACCAAAGGGGAAATTTTGAAAGGGGCCCCCTTTTTTAAGGGGGGGGGGTAAAACCAAAGAAACAAATGAAACGATAACAATTTTCGGGAAAAAAAAAACCTTTCAAAAATCTGATTTTATGACAAGGGGACAAAAGGGAAAAGGAAGGGGGGGGGTTGCGATTTTTTGGGTAAAAAAGGGGTTTGGTTTTACAAGATTATAAAAACAAGGGTAGGGACACAAAAAAAGGGGGGGCCAAGAAAAATTTTCCCCAGGGGGGGCAAAAAA